ATGCTCAAGTAATTTCACCTATAAGCTTGCGGCTCAACCATAAACAATTCAATAAGTTCTAGATTTAAAATAAATAATAAAATCGAAATTTGGGGACTATTTATTGAATCAAGAAAATTATATTGCGAAGTTATGTCCAATGACCTAAAACTATGACGTTGATTATGCAAATATTTATCCAATGGACATTCCTTTATTTTAGGGACTAGTTCCTTGTTTTGGGCACTCTTTACATTTTTCCTTAGCAATGCATGTGATTACTTTGAACTCTACATAAACTATACTGTGTATGGAAATATTATAATTAAAGGGTCTATACCATTTGGCAAGGACCGCCGGAATCACACTTAACAGAATAACTAAATTTTACTCTATCACACAGAACACTTAAAATCAGAGATTTTAAGTGAATCAAACGAATGCAGTAAACCCAAACCTTTCTTCTTCTTCTTTCTCTTTTTTTCTCTCAACACGCAGGAGCACCAAAAGTCTCCAGAATGATGACTAGATCAGGAACCCAAGAGTGATCGAGCCTAAGTAAAACTAATTCATCATCCAACGTCCAGAAAAGATATACGTGTTAATCATCCAAGGAGAAAANNNCGTGTTAATCATCCAAGGAGAAAACGTTTTTACACTTAATAAAAAAGTGTATATCCCCCCAAAACACAATTTTAAAGTAATAAAAATAATTCTAGGAGTTCAATAGTGAGAACCAGGGTTCGACTCCATCGTTCTCCACCTTGCTACCAGAATTTGGACTATCGGTACATCTAGGAGCATTTTCACATTTCATTTTCATTTGCACTATGTACCCGTATAAAAATCATAAAGAATTAATAGAAATGAATTTAAAGCAATTCAGAAATTTGTTTAAGGGAATCACTTTAGTACCCATGTCGATGGATTATTCTGTGTTGCTATCTTTTCAATTTTTATTATTCCCTTAGAAATAGCATCTCTAATGAAGTGATATTTAACATCAGTAATTTTTGTTCTATCATAAAACATGAGATTTTTACTAAAATGAATAGAACTTTGATTGTCTAAAATTAGAATAGTTTGTGCATCAACAAATCCAAGTTCCGACATCAATCTATATAACCACATTCCTTCTTTTTTAGCATCAGTAGCAGATATATATTCAGCTTATGACAATAAAACAATCTTTTGTAATTGAGACTTCCAGCTTATGACAATACCACATAAGACATAAAAATAGGATGAAGTTGATTTTCTATTATCTCTATCACCAGCAAAGTCTGAATCTCTATATCCCCTTAAAATCACACCCTCTTTATTAGATTTAAACACTAAGCCTAAATCAGCAGTACCTTTTAGATACCTTAATAATCATTTTAAAGCATTCCAGTGATCTTCTCCAGGGTTACCCATAAATCTGTTTAATACACTAATTCTATGAGCAAGATCAGGTCTAGTGCAAATCATTAAGTACATAACAGATCCTATTACATTTGAATAAGGTATTCTAGACATTTTACCATATTCTTTTTCAGTTTTTGGACAGCATTCGGAAGACAGTTTATACTAATTAGTAAGAGGTAAAGTTACAGGTTTATAGTCATGCATATCAAACTTTTTCACCACTTTCATCACATAGTCATGTTGGTTCAAGAACAACGGATCTTTTTCTTTATTTCTTTCTATATGCATACCCAGAATTTNCTAAGCCTAAATCAACAGTACCTTTTAGGTACCTTAACAACAATTTCAAGTCATTCCAGTGATCTTCTCCATGATTACTCATAAATCTGCTTAATACACTAATATTATGAGCAAGGTCAGGTCTAGTACAAATCATTAAATACATTACAAAACCTATAGCATTAGCATAAGGAATTTTGGACATCCTAAAATATTCATCTTCAGTTTTAGGACAACAATCTGAAGATAGTTTGAAATGATTTGCAAGAGGTAAGGTTACAGGTTTGCAGTCATACATATTTGATTTTTTCAAATTTTAGTCACGTTATCATGTTGGTTTAAAAACAGCACATCATTTTCTTTATTTCTTATAATCTGCATACCTAAGATCTTCTGGGCAGAGCCAAGATCTTTCATATCAAACTCACATAGTAACTTCAGTTTAATATTTTCAATTCAGCCTTATTGCAACTAGCAAGCAATATATCATTCATATAAAGGACCAAATACAAGGAATTTTTACCTCCATTACATTTGCAGTACAAGCAAGTGTCATATTGACTTCTTTTGAAGCCCAATTTTAGAACAAAAATATCAAATCTTTTGTTCCATTGTCTGGGGGCTTACTTTAAACCATACAAAAATTTTTTTAACAAACACTGTATTTTCAAGATTACTTTTCTCAAAACGAACAGGCTGTCTCATGTAAATAATTTCATCAAATTCACCATACAAGAAAGCAGTTTTAACATCAAATATATCAATTTCCCATTTAAATTGAGCAACAAGGGCAAGTAAACATCTAATAGTAGTGTATTTCACAACAGGTGAAAAAATTCAGAGTAATCAATACCCTCTTTTTGAGTAAAACATTTTTCTACTAATCTAACCTTGTATC